TTCCTTGATACATTTGCTCACTCTCAGGACTGCATTTCCCTAGTGAGGGTAAGCCTCTTCTAAAGTTTGTGATGATGCTTGTTGCCCTTTACTTGAGAAATATAAAAGCTATTCTGGATTTATAATTCGTAAAACATTAAAGCGTATAGGCATGTACAAGAATAGAGGGTGGATTGATGGCGTTCCATAATATTCATTCCTTCCCCATCTACGGTGATGGTCTATTGGTCTTACAAAAGAAGGGCACATGAAGAAGGCGTCAAGTGGTTTAGTAAGGCCCCTGGGCTGTTCACAAGCAACATTTCTGAATGTAGGATATCTTACTAGAGGATCAAGAAGACGAAATCTTCCAGTGTTCTCGATGGATGAACAATCTGCTCAGCTGGGCGGGACCGCATGATCGCAAACATTGGTGTTTTCGGCCACCCAGTTATTTTCGATTCGCGCTAATCATTCCTTCAATTTTTCAAACCATCTATGCAAATTTGTATGTTATATTGTGCCTCACGAGGTTTTTAGGTGGAACTATTTATTTAACGGCCTGACGTTTCGACTAATCGTCTTCTTCAGAGGCCTAAAAGTGTTTCGAGATTAAGAGATGTGCACTACCCGCCAAGCGCCCAATCCACCCCAGCATTCGATGACATAGTGAAACTCAACCGAGAATCTCACACAACACGAAGGCGCTCACCTTTGTTCCACCGTAGAGCGGAATAATCCGCTATTCCATAAGTCAACCAGTAGCGAATGAGACTTACTACATATAGCGTCTCCTTATACGTATCGAAACGCGGAGACGCACGTAGCACTGGTGACTTTATAGCTCGCAATACGGAATGAACGACAGGAGGTCATTGGAAATTGACGGACGCTCGTCTCGGTTGTTCATACGAGGATTTCTGACAGAAATCCAAAACGCCTCTAATGCCTTCCTAGCCGCAATCTCCGTCTCCTGCGCCAATATTGTGCACTTTATCGCAAAGTTGTCGCCGTTATGCACCGCTTTATGCTTCCCAAGCGCTGTCGTAAGATTACCGCGCCTTCATGTTGGCTAGGTGTTCTTTGATACGTTTAGCAAGCGGTCCTCCTTTTTCGGTTGCGTTTCACTATGTCATCGAAATGCTGGGGTGGATTGGGCGCTTGGCGGGGTAGTGCACATCTCTTAATCTCGAAACACTTTTAGGCCTCTGAAGAAGACGATTAGTCGAAACGTCAGGCCGTTGAATAAATAGTTCCACCTAAAAACCTCGTGAGGCACAATATAACATACTGAATTGAAAACCAACGTGCCGAGGTTACAGGAAGAGAGAAGCTGGCCAATATTTATGCAAAATTGTGACCTTATAAAGCCTTTCCTATGTGGTTAGGACTTCATCATGTTCATAATGTGAACACACGCTTGAATTTTTCAGATGGGTTACTTCGAATGTTTTTTGAATTTAATTGCAAAGCTGGCTCCGCCACATAACGACGAACTTTCTTTCGTAACTGATAGGCGGCTACCACCGCGTCTCGAATCGCTTTGTGAGCACCTCATGGTCCCTGTTATAAGAACATCATCAGAAGAAAGGTACCGTTTCATTTTTCTTACTCGTTTTATGTAATCAATGCAAAGCTAGTGGCGGTGGATGGCTCAAGTAAGGAAACTGTTTTTGATTTTTGAACGCAGAACTAGGGATAAACTGCTTTTCTGAAGAACGATCCACCATCATTAGGGGCATATTCTGCGATTAGTTTAGGCGTGGATTATCGCTTTAAATACAAGAAGAGAAGATGTGCTAAATGGCTCGTTCTCGAGGAAAAGCCAATGAAATCATAGAACCCACCGGAATACGGCCCCTCAGTCTCTCATCTGGCCTGAGAGAACGTAGGAGAGGCATGCGGAAACTGGGTTTCCCTCGAGCTCTTGTTATTTGATCTCATTCTAGACTCACTGTCTGTGTCACATCTTTTCCGCCTCACTATCGCGGTCGATTACGAGCTTCTTTTGGCTACTGGTTGGAGGGGTATTCTGTTGCAGAAGCGTGCAACTATTTTATAATGGAACACTGGCAATCTCGCCATTCATTTTTATCCACAGAATAGGTGCAGACGCTCTGATTGCGGATCTGTCTGCACAACGAGTGTTCGAACACTGTTTTGAAACCCACCAGCTTTCCAGGGTATGGGTTCTGCGCTCCTTGATTCGGTCAATAGTGATCAACAAGAACTTGACGTCAATGGTCCTAATAGTGATGCCTTATATTTCACGTTGTTTCTACGATTCTAAGTGAGTTTCGTGACCGTTTAGAATCATTTGTTGCAGCTCATTTTTAGAAACTGTAGGGTTTCATTATGTGATCTGCTGAATGGCTTTGGACGATATCCTTCTCATGATACCGTCCCGGCTGGTCTCTGTTCGACATTTTTTGTGAGCACCATCTTGAGGGCATGCTCTCAGAAGGAATGTGAGTGGATATAATTTTTTGCAGGATAGTCGTTCTAGCTCGGGCAGCGCGGCTGCAAAGCACTTTTCGGAGTTCGGGACATGTGCGATTCCGTCCTCAGCTCGCGCTACTCATGCTGTATACTCTACTTGTGCCAAATTTAGCTTATAATATTTACAGTAACTGATGAAGAGAAGTTTCTGCTTTTGTCGACGTGTGCTGGGTTCAAAGAAGCGTATCAGAGAGACAATTCTGCTGGAGCTTCCATGATGACAAACGTAAATAAGGTATGATAATGAACGAATTCAGATTCCCTTTTGGGAGTACTTAGTTACAAGGTCGGGGAAATGAGATGAAAGGCAGTGACAAAACATTTAAAAGTGCAAGCCACGTGATGCTTAACACGAACGGCGATGGCAGACAATGGTGGCTGCCACTTTATACGAAAATAAAGATGTGCTAACAGTCAAGTTCGCTGGAAAATTATCCCTAGGGGTAGCTTGTCCTTTGAAACGAATACCACAGTCGCTTGGCACGAACTGCCTGGCGCCCGCGCCACAGGCGCCGGCGCCAAAATACCATAAATCACCAAATTCGCTGAAAACTTGTCTCCTGGGGCAGCTTGACCCCGTGAACACGAATATCACAATCGCTTGCCACAAAACTGCCTGGCGCCCGCGCCAAAATGTCCTAGGTCATCAAATTCGCTGAAAACTTGTCTCCTCTCTCCTAGACTATTTCGACCCCCGCCCCCAAACAAGAATATCACATCCACTTGACCGCCTTGACGATCATTTTCTCAATGGTGAACGACAATCACTTTCTCTTGTGGGAGGGCGTCACCCACTGCTCCCCGACAGTTATTATATAATCGAAATCTGCTTGGTTGTT